AAAGCTATTTGGTACCTAAACTTGATCGATCCTTTAAGCAGCTTCTTTTGTCATAAGTTTAAATCCTATAGTGAGGAGATGAGACTCGTTGAAGCAATGAAGAAAACAAAGCGTTTTGTCTTCATTAATTATTTTGATAAAATCAAAATGATTAAAGATGATGAAATTGTTTCAAAATTAACCGTGTATTCCTGAAAGTAGAAAATTTGAAAAATTCGTCACTAAAATACAGATTTATATGTTGCAAAGCCAACAGCCTCAGACAAATATATACACATCTTCAGTTACGTGCTATGCGTGATACATGCTTAGGAGATCATGTATCTTTCGATACATGACTGACAAGGCAGATTTTTCCCGCAGTAGGTTGCCATTTCTTTCTGCGATAGACCAGTTGCCTTCTAAGGCTATAGAACCTAGTCTGTCCTGCTATTTACCCATAGCTTGGTGGGGAAGAAGAGGATTTATACCTTTCCCAATTGTATTGCCATGTGAGTGAATGTAATGGATTCGACTAGAATTCGAACTCGGCACTCTGATTCCTCAATCCCAGCCTCTACTCCACCGTGCCTACACATCTTACCTTTTTCTTTTTATTCTTAACTCACCTGTAACTCCTCCTATCTTACTTGTCGTTTTCTTTCTTTCCTTATTGCTTCTCTTTCCTTCTTTTCATTAATGGCGCTTTTCCTCTTTCTTCTCTTCCCATTTCATTTTCTTTCGATATTTTCTTTCCTATTTTCATTCTTTCTCTCTTTCTTTTACATCTCAATCTCTTTTCATGTTATACTCACCTTAATTTTCTTCTTCGATGTCTCTCTTCGTTTTTCTCACACGTTTTTCTTCTATTTCCTCCCCCCTTTTTTTCTTTTCCTCCACTCCATACTCTAATACTTTCACATCCTCTTTTACTCTCTTCCTTTACTCTTCATTTATTTCTCCCTCCCTCTGCTCCTACATCTTGCATTCCTCTCCTTCTCTCTTACACACAGTTTTACTTTACCTCTCCCTCTCTCCTCTCTCTCTGTCTCTCTCTCTCTCTCTGACACACACACACACACACACACACGCGCGCGCGCACACACACGCATACACACACATACTTTTTTCCTTTTACCTTCCAGTTTTTTGTGATGGTCGACGCCAATCCTCGAATAGGGATTTGCAACCTTATCGTAACATGACACCCAAGTACGACTGGACTGTCAGTTGACCCTATACCCTTTATTTGTTTATCATTTCTCCAGTGAGGATTTTCGAACGTTGGCGAATCTTCTGAACTCCAGGGTAACATATATTTATATACTGTATTTCAGAAATACGATATATTTACAACAAAACGAATGTTCTTTCTTTCATCCTTAAAATTAACATTCTCCTTTGCTTCATAATGTTGCATAATCTTAAATGCCAAAAATTACAAGCAGATCCAGGACAGCCTTGCAGCATCAGCAGCAAATCTTACCAGTTTAGACAAAAAAAGTTATTTCTCTGTATTTAGTTAGATATGTGGGTGTTCAATAAACACAAAATGCGCCTGAGCAAGCGTCTGCAATAGGGATTGGTTAGCCGCCCTAGTAGACAGCTATCCTTGAACACAAGTGGCCACCTATACTATATGTATGTATGTGTGTGTGCGTGTGTGTTAGTTATTATTAATTAACTAAATTTGATTAATGCAAACACTAGGAACTTTTGCACAAACTTATTTAGCCTTTTAGGGCATTTTGACTCGGGATAATGGTCATCAAGCTTGTCTTACGAGAACAATTACGACTGAGTGGTGAGTTCGATCCTCACTGGATGCCGATATTACGCTTAGATAATCGCCATAATGTTTAGCCTTTTGTATCGAAGTCTGCTAGTAATGTCTGAGCTTCTTCTTTTACACTGAAATACGGTAATTTATCACCACAACCACTACTACTACAGTGTACGCCCCTGCTTGTACTTCCACTGCATCTTAATAACAGTCATGATACTGGCGAGCCTTCTTTTATACTTAATCTCCTAATGTAGCGAATCCGGGCATCATCTAATGTCTGCGGTAATTACTGGTTTCCATTTTTTGGAAATCCAACATTTATAAAACATTATTATATAAATTGTGTGGAAGTCCTCTTAAATAACAAAACTAATTTTAACTAACACATTTCAAAATTAATCATATACAAATTACATTAGTGTCACATTCTGTTGTGACGTGGGTGAGCGAATAAATAAACATATACAAATTACATTGTGCCAGTCACATTAGGAAACTGGTTTGTTTATTGCTTTGATATCCTTTTTACAATAGGAGAATAGACATTCATAAGCGTATCAAAGAAGACTCCATAGTTCGGGTATTTATTCTTAATTTAGCCAAATCTCTAGAAATTTGGCATTAAAAGTTTGAATATAAACTACATCAGGCAGCAAAGCCTCTGATCGGGAGATTAGAGTTTTGAGAAGCGTAGAACGCCTTCTTAATTGTTCTTGTTCCCAGGTCCACCAGTTCGGCAACAAGGCCTCTGATCGGGTGATTGGAAGTTTTGAGGGGAGTAGAACGACTTCATAGTTGTTCTTGTTCCCAGGTCCACCCGTTCGGCAACAAGGCCTCTGATCGGGTGATTGGAAGTTTTGAGGGGCGTAGAACGACTTCTTAGTTGCTCTTGTTCCTAACCCTAACCCCGTTCGGCAACAAGGCCTCTGCTCAGGAGATTGGAAGTTTTGAGGGGAGTAGAACGACTTAATAGTTGTTCTTGTTCCCAGGTCCACCTGTTCGGCAACAAGGCCTCTGATCGGGTGATTGGAAGTTTTGAGGGGCGTAGAACGACTTCTTAGTTGCTCTTGTTCCTAACCCCGTTCGGCAACAAGGCCTCTGCTCAGGAGATTGGAAGTTTTGAGGGGAGTAGAACGACTTCATAGTTGTTCTTGTTCCCAGGTCCACCCGTTCGGCAACAAGGCCTCTGATCGGGTGATTGGAAGTTTTGAGGGGCGTAGAACGACTTCTTAGTTGCTCTTGTTCCTAACCCTAACCCCGTTCGGCAACAAGGCCTCTGCTCAGGAGATTGGAAGTTTTGAGGGGAGTAGAACGACTTCATAGTTGTTCTTGTTCCCAGGTCCACCCGTTCGGCAACAAGGCCTCTGATCGGGAGATTGGAAGTTTTGAGGAGCGTAGAACGACTTTCTTAGTTGCTCTTGTTCCTAACCCTAACCCCGTTCGGCAACAAGGCCTCTGCTCAGGAGATTGGAAGTTTTGAGGGGAGTAGAACGACTTCATAGTTGTTCTTGTTCCCAGGTCTACCCGTTCGGCAACAAGGCCTCTGATCGGGTGATTGAAAGTTTTGAGGAGCGTAGAACTACCTCTTAATTGCTGCTGTTGCCAGATTCACCATGACACGGAGTGGTAGTACCTGTAGTGTCCCAGCTATGTGCAAATAGTGAACCTCTAAACAAAAATCAACCGTACATTTTATAATAAAATAACAATATATTTTATAATAAAATTACCAACAACACATTTCTTTTATAAAAAAAAATCACCAACACTACATTTTTGTAGTCAAATTACCAGCAATACATTTTAGTATCTCTAAACTATATAATTAAAAAAAAACATATCATTTAGCCAGAAATTATAGAATTATGTACAAAATGTTTAATTTTCGGTTCGTAAAGGTTGATATGCCGCTAAATAAAATTATCGAAATCAGACAATGAAAGTTTGAACACAAACAGTAATTAACGAGAAGGATAAATTCGATAATGACCAAAAAGCTTCAATATTAGTATATTAGAAAAATCTGAAATTATGATGATCTCGATTATATCTCAACAAGCAAGATCCTGCGGAGCACCTATGCGCCGGACGGACACCTTCAAATATCTCGGTGCAGTGTTTTCGACAGTGGGGCCGAAAAGGAAACAACACAGTGACAGATCTGGAGAAGAAGAAGCTGTTTGATTGAAATTTCATACTAAATGTAGCAATATGAAAGGAGTTAGAATGATGTGCGTGACATGACGAGTCCTGTATGTAAAGGTCTGAACTGGTGGAGCTAAGCTTTATCTGAATATAAGCCATAGTAACAGCGATGGGGTAGAGAGAGGCTAGCAACATTTCGTCTGGAGAAAAGGGATGTTCCACAAAAGACTATACTTTTAAAATATACTGACAATATGAGATTTGATAAACAGGGAGATGAAAAGAAGTAGCGATTCTAGATATTAGCTATGAAGAAAACAGTCGATGCTGTCCCATTCTAAGAACGCAGAAGAATATTAAATGCACAACAGAGAGTCTTTATTAGATTCTAAATCTCGCTGTATATAAATATATTCATGGAGTTAGTTTCAAGTCTCAACTGAAATATTTGCTCAAGAAATTGGAAGGCGACTTTAAATTGCAACATTCTTTGCAGCAAACGATGTATTGGAAGGAGCGAAGGCGGATGATAGCAAGAAGGTAATATATTTCCACAAATGTTTTCAATGACAGACGCACAGAACGTAAATAAATTTAGAATAGATTTATGACTGTCTATATCAATTCCTATTCAAGGAGATTTAGCGATAAAATCCTGGCCCAGAATCCTACCTCCGTTTCTTCACGGCTATCGTCGGATCTTTTTATTAAATCATGTAACAAGCGTTAACGACGGAAATATTCTTAGTTTCGATGCAAACGACACAAAGATTCAATCAGTTCTGGGATACGAGATTTTTTTTTTCTTGTCACAATCAGAATATCTTATAACTCGTAAGCTTCCATGAAGCGAAAAGTCTCATTTACTGTTGAAGGCAATCATAGGTCTGTCAATCATGCTGTCTGAATTGAAACCACGAATTTTGCGCACTTACATATGGCGAATCAGATCGCCAGTTATAGGCAGTTTAGTAAGCTAGAATCACATGCAAGAGCTGGTGTAGTGAGTTCGATTCTCACCGAGAGTCGGATTATGAAAGCGTCTGTTCTAAACAATATTTAGCAAGCATGACTCACAGCCCAGGATTAGGGTCAGATCACGCTGAAACACCGGTTCTCGTCCGATCACCGAAGTTAAGCAACGTCGAACCTCGTCAGTACCTAGATGGGTGATCGCTTGGGAATATCAGCTTGGATGAGCGGATGGTGTAATGGATAACGGCTCAGAATTGGAAAACTGACAGCAGAATTCTAAATCCTGTCGGGTTCGTTATAGTCACTTACGTGCAAATAACCTTGGGAAAGGTATGAATCCACCTCTTCTCCCCCAGCTATGGGTTAATTACTTGGACTTGTATCACTAACTGATTACCTCCAAGATATTATTGCATTCTAAAAAAAAAGATATTTTCTGGTTTTAAATAACTAGCAAAAGATTGATAAACCGTAAAAACCAAATCAATTAATCAATCCCAGGACAGGTTTAGTGTAATGAATTCTACTTGAAAGGTCTGTAACGGTTTTCGTGTTTGAACTTTCTGATGAATTTTACTTAATTCTTCAGTTAATGATTGAATAAGCTCATGGCGAGTTCTATAATAATACAATATATGTAGAAATTCCCCTATCGCATTGTTAAATATTTGAGCTTAACAACTTTTAAAAAATATTGCAATAACAATCATAAATATGAATTCTGGTCGTTATTTTAAGAAGTGGGTACAAATGAAAAGATTTGAAACTTTTTCCATTTCACTGAAACAGCAGTTAAAGACTTCTATTTTCCCTTTTTTTCTTTCTTTCATTTTCTCATTGAAACCAAGTAGCGTATGTGTTTTGTTTGTCTACGCAATCAACTGAAATAGTTCATTATTTTCAAGGTATTGGCAGGAGAAGTTAAACACTTCTATATTCACTTCTTTCTTACTTTCATTTATTCATTTTTACACTGAAACCAAATAATGTCTTCTCCCTTCATTCCACACGATCAAAATGGAGTAGTCCTTAATTTATGAGGGCGTAATGATCGTGCGAAATAATGAAGACAGAAACACGCACAATTATAATAGGATCCTCACCGAGAGCTACAAGATTCGGGTTTCTGTCATAGATAACTGTTAATAAGCTAGACACAGCACAGAGCAAGTGTATTGAATTCGAACCTCACTGATTGCCACATTATTTTGGTGTCTGTCGTAGGCAACATTTAGCAAGCTAGTCTCACAACCCAGAGCTAGTGCAGCAAATTCGATCTCACTCTGTGTCTCATTATTCTGGTGTCTGTCGTAGGCAACTTTTAGCAAGCTAAACTCACAGCCCACAGATAGTGCAGCAAATTCGACCTCACTAGTGTCTTATTATTCGGTAGTCTGTTGTAGGCAAGGCTCAGCAAGATAATCTCATATCCAAGAGCTAGTTTAGTCAGTCCAATTCTCACCGAGTTTCATAATAATAGGCTACCTGTTGTAGGCAATGATTAACAAGTTAATCTCACAGCCTAGACCTAGAAAAGTATGTTTCATCCCTAATTGATGTATGTCAGAACATATCATTTGACAAATTGCTTAATATTATTGTAAATTTCTACGAAGCTCTCATGGAATAAACAGATTCCAAAGACTTACACCACTGAATACTTTTCCCGAGAAAATTGATTGCTTTGGTAAATTCCCAATCCATTCCTTCTAAGTCCTGTCTCGACTGGCTTCACTCTATGGATAATTACTCCGGTTAGTCTGGCATAAGAATAGAGTAACGAGACTCCCAGTGAAAGTCGAACTGACTCAATGAGTGAAGTGGTCAGCGAAACTTCTTTTTTATGCCGTGTCTCTTCAGGACTCGGGGAATTATGGCTCTCCACGACTTCTTATCTGTGGTAACACTAAGCAATATCTGACCCCTTACTATATATCTCTGTACATTGTTACATACAAAGGTAAGTTACTTGCTGTTTTCTTCTATACCTGTTGTCTTCAATATGTCCTATGAGTGGCAGATTCTCCAAGCCTTTTCCTCATTATTTCTCCCAGAAATTTCAATTGTCTCTTTCTGATCCTAAATAAATGTATCCATTTCACTCCCATTTTCCTTAAAACTTCCTCGTTATTTACATGCTCTGTGCATGGTATTCTCAGCATCTTTCTGTAGAACCACATTTCTGTTGCCTCAAATTTTCTCTTCATCTCTGAGGAAATTGTTCAGCATTCACTGTCACGTAGAAGGATCGATATTACATAACAACTGAGGACACTTATCTTTGTTTCCAACAAAATTTTCCTATTTCTTAATAGTTTGCCTAGTTTTTGGCAGATCGTGCTGCGATAAATATTTAGTTTGCCGCAAGGCTCCAGCAAGAAAGGAACGAGAATCAATTTATGAAGTTAATCCGTTAATCACTGCTCAACAACAAGCGCCCACATTAGGTTATTTTTTTCATGAATCGACAGAGATTCCCTTTCTTTATTATCTGTGAATTGACATGACTTTTGGGAAAATATAGTGGTATGGCACCTTGCATTTATTGGAAATATTCATAGAAATATGAGTTAATTTTTCCTTATTCAGTTTATTAAACAGGTTGTTAATTTTTTTTCTTTAAAACGGAAAATAACTGGGTTGAAAATAATTCACTAAGAATGTACTAAACGATCCTAAAGCAAGGAAAAAGAAAGAAAGGAAAAGGAAGAAAGGAAAGATAATAACAAAAGGGGGAAAGAAAGGAAAAGACATGATATCAAAACAGGCCGCTGGGTGTGGACCAGATGTCGGTCAGAGCCTCTGACTGACCTTAAATTTTTGTTGAAAGAATAGAATTGGAGATATCGGTCGCGAGCGCTGACCGACATTTTCGTAGAAGAATTCTTATCAAAATAACGAAAGGTAACTTTTAAATTAGAATAATAGAAATGAATTTTACTTTAGTCAGAGAGAAAGTGTCTTTGGGTTGGGGAAGTGACTGGTGAAAACGATATACGGAATTGACCTGTTAAGAATTGGACACCCACGTTAAGAAAGTAGAGATATTTCGACCTAGATAATTAAGATTCTCGGCTATCAGGAAAAACAAAGAGGTAAAAAGAAGAGCAATTGTTTTTGGACCACGGAGGGCGCCAGGAAGGCGGAAAAGATCCTTTCTAAAAGTCAAGACTAATTAGCAGCGGGCTGTTTGACAAAGTCCAGGTGAGAGAGGGCAAGGATTGTCATTTTGCGTACGTGCAAAAAGGTGCGAAATCGGATTTTGTTTTTTTTAAAACCAGCACGATGTAACCACACCCGCCAACAAAAGGGAGAGGGTGTTCGGTCAATAACAATTGGTCGAATACAATCACGTGACCGCGGAAGAAGAAGGAAAGAAAACCTCGATCAATAACTGTTGGACGAGGCGGTCACGTGGGCTGCGGAAAAGAAGAGAAAGAAAGGTTCGATCGGGAACGATTGGTTGAGAGCGATCACCTGACATGAGAGAGACTAAGAGAAATAGATATGCGCCCCCCCCAAGAGCACTGTGAGAAAGTAGGGGTGAAAACAATAACGATAATGGAAAGTCAAAATTAATACGGCTTTTGAAATTATCGAGAAACCCCTGACGCCGACCGACCCACCCCGGCTTGTTGCGGCGTCAATATAAGCAGGACCCCAGTCGGCAGAAATCAGTTGGAGCTGAAGTTGGAGCTGAAGTTGAGTTGAAGTTGGAGCTGAAGTTGAGTTGAAGTTGGAGCTGAAGTTGAGTTGAAGTTGGAGTTAGGTTGGGCGTGAGTTGCAGTTCACCCTCGGACGACAGAAGAATCCTCGAAACAAGAAATCCTTCCAGCCCAAGTTGAAGACAAGAAATCTTCCACTGAATTGAAGCAAGAAATCCTTCCAGCCCAAGTTGAAGACAAGAAATCTTCCACCGAATTGAAACAAGAAATCCTTCCAGCCCAAGTTGAAGACAAGAAATCTTCCACCGAATTGAAACAAGAAATCCTTCCAGCCCAAGTTGAAGACAAGAAATCTTCCACCGAATTGAAGCAAGAAATCTTCCACTGAATCGAAGCAAGAAATCTTCCACTGAATCGAAGCAAGAAATCTTCCACTGGGTTGAAACAAGAAATCTACCAGTCTAAACAGAAGAAGAAGAAGAAATACAACTCAAGTCGGAGAGAAGAATCAACTGCGAATGATCGATAGAAATTAGCCCCAGTGTCGAACTGAACCACACCCGACATACATACATGATTCTAGAAAGTAGGTAATTCGACATTTTCCTATTGTGTGATAGAAGCTTGGTGCCATAGTCCACAGAGCGGGTCGGGAATTGAGAACAATTTTGTTTTTATGTAACGGACTTTAAGATATAAAAGGTTGTTACCCTTTTTATCGGCAGCAATTTTGTTTGGTGTCGTGAGTTTTATTTTATTTGTGTTTTGCCACCCCCGTCGGACTCAACTTGTATCGGCCCCGATCCCTGCTGGTCCCGTCTGTCTAAGATCTAAACACAGCGTGGGTAGACAGACCGGAGATCGGTATAGTTGCTTTAGTGACCAGGTATTGGAAGCGAGTCGGGAAAGGCGAGGCTGGTGATCATCTGACCAAAGGGTTGGAGCGGCACGCTTGGACCCAGGAGGAGCGACCAGGAGGAGCGACGTCACCGTTGGCGCCGTAACCAAAGGATCCGACACTGGGCCAGGTGTGTAACCGTCACAAGTGGTGCCGTGACCAAGGATTTTTCGGCCCTGAGAAGACCACGACCGACCGCCGTTGCTGAAGGTTCAAGCAGAAATCAGAACGACCCGGGACCAAAGGAAAAGAAGGAACAGAGTCGTCTGTAAGGTAGGACACCTTGTTTATTTCCCTACCTCGATTGTTGCTCTCTGTAGACATGTCAGATTATGAGTCGGATAGAGCAGTGGGGGTGAAGAAGAAGTAGGGCGGGGGCTGTCAGTAGATTTAAGGGGGCTGTTGGGTGGACCGAGGGTCCCAGTGTTTGATGGTAGTGGGAAGGAGTTCAGGAACTGGCTGACAATCCTCGAAAAGAGCCGAACCATCTACGAGCTCTCGGACCAGGAAACCCTGTACCTGGCATACGATGCCACAAAGGAAAAAGCGTCGGAGTTCGTAAGGGGACTCTTGGAAAATCATCCCCGCTTGGCCTGGGAAGAAGTAAAAAACTGCTGACCAAAGAGTTCGCCGACGAGGGTACGGCCATAGA